TATATATATATAAAGAAAATGCTATAAAATATGTATACAAATGTAAAAAATCTTTACAATATACTAATAATTAAAATTTAATGTTTATGTTGTTTTAATTTAAATTAAAAATAATATTTATTTATTGAAAAAAGTAAAATTTTAATGATTTACTCTTTTTGTCTCTTAATTGTAAATCGATTTAGCGATATAAACCGAGTATGTAGTTGGATTGTTATGTTTTTAATGTTGATTTTTTTTTTTCTTTTGTAATCACATATTTTTAACTTTTTTTTTTTTCTTAAATCATGTCCATTTGGTAAGCTCTAATCAACAAAAATGTTATGCAATATGTTGCAAAATTTCAATTTAAATCAAATTTTCTACCAAAAAACTTATTTTTCCATAACTTATTCTTTGACCTGGCTAAACTAAGAAGCCGAAGCCCCATGCTTTATTGGCTAAAGTCCCTTCTTTCTTAGAAAACGAATGTTGAAGTTAATTATAAATACAAGAAATCTCATTAAAAAAAATAAAAAAATTTGAGGGTGATACGGATTATAAGTTTTTAAATACTTGATGGTACAACTATCGATATTTATATTTATAGTAAATATATTTTTATATGAAATGAACGTTTCGACTTAAACTACAAGCTCGTTATTTAACATTTAAACTCGGGCCCCCCTGAGTAAAATTCCTAGATCCGTCACTGTATACATAACATAGGATAATTTGTTATTAGTTTTTGTAATTTAATTTTAGTAATCATATGAAAATCGTGATAATTAGAAAATGTTGTCTCCCTTATATTTCCAAAGAAAATTGATATATATATATATATATATATATTTTTTTTTTTTGAAATTGATATATTTTTAAGCACTTGCGTTCTATAACTAGTAAAAATGAAAGGGGATAATTGTTTGGCGCAGAAAGGGATTGGCACGACTACCTGCCGCTTTACCGCGCGGCGCTAAGGGGCGACTGGGCCACGGCCAAGGCCATCCTCGACGGTGACCCCGATGCGGCCAGAGCAAGAGTCGCCTTCACCCTGGAGACTTCCCTTCACATCGCCGTCGGCACCGGAAAGGCTATCCCCTTTGTAGTGAAGCTGGTGGAACTGATGCCCGACGAGCACCTGGCCCTCAAGGACGAGCTGGGATTCAACGCCCTTCACGTGGCCGCCCTCGCAGGAAACACGGAGGCCGCCAGAATCCTGGTCTCCAGGCTGCCGGATTTGCTGTACGTGCAGAGCAACAACGGCAGCTTCCCCATCCACAAGGCCGCCATGTCAGCCCACAAGGAAACCCTCCGATTTCTGATTTCCCAGACAAAGGACGACGTCAACCCCAGCCCTTACGTCGGTGATAAAGGGGTTATGCTCCTCAACGATGTGATTGATGCTGATTTTTTTGGTCCGTTATGTTTATATGTTAATGCTGTTTCTATTTATATATCTCTTGTTTATGAATAATTCTGGATTGATAAGGTTGTGTTTGGTGGATAGATGTTGCATTGGAATTGGCTGAGAAGTACCCCCACCTGGCGCAGAAAAAACTTTCGTCTGGTAATTCGGCTTTGAAGAGGTTAGCCTTAAAGGATTCTGCGTTTTCCAGTGGAAATCAATTAAAATCCTGGGAGCGTCTCTTGTACGCTGGTGAGTTTTTTTTGGCTTATCCTTCTTATTTGTTGCTTGTAGTATTTGCTTTATATCTGGTTGATGGATATGCGGTAAAAATCGAGCACGGGAAATTTGATTCTGACAATATGATCATTTACGTTGGTGGAAAATAAGCAATGTGCCAATACTACATTTTTTGTGTTGAAGGTTTTCAGCTGGTGTTGCGGTCTGAAATACAAAACCCTGCTCCAAATTCAAGGGACATTGAGGACCAAACTTATAGCACTCTCGTTTGTCGTGGCAAGTATAATTTTTCCACCCTCATGAGTCATGATCATATCTTTTTTTTTTTT